GTTCTCCAATTCCCTCCTCCTCCAACCACCCAATTTCCAACCTGAAAGGTTCGGGCCACCTAAGATATTACTGGAACTGAGGAGAATAGGGGTATGATCTAACAAAATCCTAGGTAAGACTCTGACAGAAGAAAGGGAGAAGAGTTCCATCCACTCATCAGATACTAGGAACCTATCAATCTTAGTCAAAATAAGATTATGGACACTATTATGTGACCAAGTATAAGCAGCCACTGATAAAGGCAAATCAACCAAACTATATCATTCAATAAATTCATTAAATAACCTCATAGAAGAGTTGATGTTCCCTCCTGAAGGAAACTCCTCACGCCACCAAATCAAGTTAAAGTCCCCCCCAATACAAAAAGGCACTTCAAAGACAAAAATAACATTTGAAATATCAAACAGAAAACATTCCTTAAGAGATTGAATATTAGGTCTATAAATATTTAACATACCCCAAGAATAAGAGGCTTGTGGGCCATTAAACATAACAACCAGTCATTTGCCACCCTTAGCGATATCAACACACTACAAAAGAAGCAGATTCCACAACATCCACAATCCACGCGGCGCTCCTATAGAGTCTATGCCATCAAACCCCACTGCCCCTAAACCCCAGACAAAGTAGGGCAGGGAAATTTGGTTTCTTGCAAAATCAAAATATCGGGTTTATATTTTCTTACCAAAAAAAGAACATCACTTTTCTTACTAGACTCTCTTAAACTCCTAACATTCCAACTTAAATTAAGCATTAAAAAAGGGAAGAAGAGGAACCTAGATCATCTAAGTTTTACCCAAAGTAGTATTGCTTGAAGCATATACACCATTTCTCTCTTCGTTGCAGCAGAGCATAGAGCTATTTGACACGCTACTTGAAACTTCAACAAGGTCATCCTCATTGGTCTCGATCTCCCTGATTTAGATTTGAGGTCCCCTAGTAGCCAACCTTGAAGATGACCTAGTAGCCACAGTCGAACTACCTCTTTTAGATTTTTTTGAGGATTGCATATTATTGCCACAATTAGGAGTAACATGGACATTATTGCCCTTCTCCTTATCAATTGTAGCTTTAGCCTCTAACTCCGCCTTGTTCTTGGTTGCCTCTTTATCTGTCTTCTTGTTCTTTATGATCTCATCATAAATCACAGCTTCATAATCCAGACCCGCATCTCCCACCATTCTACTAGCCCTACGTTCTCCAACATACCCATTCGTGTTTGCAGCCTGATGATCCGATGGTCGACCACCTGAATTACGTTCATCACCACAGTCTACATTCTCTTCAACCTGATGAACAGAACCACCTAATACCAGGGGGTTCTCTACCATCTGCGGAATTATATGGAGAGTAGGGGAAATCTCAACCTCAACCATTGCCATAAAAGGATCAAATTCATCATGTACATTAGAGACCATCTCCTCATTAGCAAGGAAAACGTTATGACTCTCTACATATGAGGCCACGTTAGCTAGAAAGTTGTCTTCACGAACATCCTCTGAATCCTCCACTGGGATGATGGCCAGCAGGTCTACCATCAGAGGATCAAAGGTAGGTATGTCCTTTGGATCTATTCTTTTCTTGGCTCCTCTCCTACATGGCATCATCTTCATTCTTGTGAGAGAATAGGAAAAGGCATAGTAGAAGCTATTCACCCACCGACTTGGAATCCCTACTCTTCTCTCTCAAATTTTCATTCGCCAGAGGGCTATCTTCCAAAAGCCATGGATAGCCACCTCCTACCGCCTTAAGGCTTGAACTCCAAGGAAACCTACCCTTTCCAAGAACGAAGTCATCAAACTTTGTAACTCTCGAGGAGATATCGGGATGGCTTTGTCTCAGAAAATCCTTCCCTAGCACGTCAAGGTCACTTATTAAAAGAGGGAACATATGGATCTTTGACGGTCCCACGGGAGCATCGGCAAGGGCATGGTTCCTCCCACTATTCTCATTGACAACAATGGATTTCAAGTTTTCCTTAACCTCCGAGATATGACGCTGAGGATCTCTCCATCGGTATCCATATTTTTGGGGTTTTAAAATTTGAATTATTACGTAGCCTCTACTTATTTTTCCTTCTGTTACGAGTTGCACGTCTCCGCTTCGAGACACTAGAATTTTCATATTTTTGCCACTTGAAAACATCTGGCGGTTGATTGATAGTCAGAATCTGCTTAGCTTTGTTTCTGGTAACTTAAACCCATGCATTCTCATTAGGAACTGTAAGCTTAGGAGCAACTACCTGAGGAGGCTTAATAATATCTTGTTGACCCCCTTCTATCTATACAGATATTAAAAATAGATTGGACCCCACCAGCAAACGGATCTGACTTGGGATTGGTATTCCCAAAAACCTTCTCATCTTTTTTTCTAGCAAAAGAACAGCTAGAACCTCCAAGCACTTCCCTGTCAACATCACAAAATTTTCTAAAGGAATTGACAATTTTTTGGAATATTGCTACATTCCAAGCATGAAAGGAATGCCACCAAGTATAACTCCATACCAGTTCCTTTTGCACAAACAACGAGTAGACCAAAGGGCTCCAACAGTCCAGAGACAATAATTTACCATGGACATGGTAAATTTTTTCACCACGAGCCACAAAGACATTACTATTAGAAGTAAAACAAAAGCAACCTTACCTCTACCCAGAGAAAAGACAGCTTAATAAAATAAGCCCCACCCTCTCTTTGCCCAATCACTCAACCCAAACGCTTCATCAGATATTGGGCAAAACAACCCCACCACAGTAAACCTCGCTCTCCTATTTATCTCTGGAAACTCCTTCAAATTGACCACTGCTCTAAAATCCTCCATTGCCTTAGCCATCTCCATCACAATTCAGTCCTACCTAACCAGCTACATCCTCCCGGAGCCCCAACTCTCTGAGTGTAATTTGAATTAACACATTTTATTTTTTCAAAATATGTCTTAATCTTTTTTTTCTTTTTTTTTGAAGGGCCTTATTGGCCTTTTTGTTCAACTCGGCTAAGTCCTGAGGACTCAACAGAGTAACTCACCTCGTCTAGGCAAGTCCCGGTACAATTGGAGTGCTGTATAAACGCATGAACTACTTACCGGAACCACAACCTGAGTGAACATGAACTCTAAGGTGTCTATACATTTCATTTAGTTGTTTTTAAAGGTTTAAGGGAAACCATTTTCAGGATACGATGTATACAAGTTTTTTAGAGGAATTATTTTCAAGGCGTATTCTAGAAGCTGAATCCGCACCTAGGATACATAAAATCATCATATACACAAAAATGTTTGTATAAGCTTACAACTTTATTTGAAAAGAAATTATATAAGACATCAACCTCATATTTTAGAAATAAAATAACCTTCTTTGTCAAATAAATTTATATAAGGTGTCAACCTGATATTATAATAAAAGGAAGGCACACTTGAAAATTCATATACAAAAGTTTGGATATTGAAAAACCATCCAAATTGATCATCTCAAATTTAAGATGCATGCATATGGCAAAGAAAAAGATTTGAAGTGCTGAAAATAGCGCATCTTGCGTTGCATTTTCTGGATCATCCATTTTCAAGACATTTAAGTGTTTACATGTGCTCGATCCATACCATTTTTAGATCTTTGTATTTCAACATTAGGGGTTAAAAATAAATTTTCAGGCAATCATAACGGTTCCTGCAATAGAACCACATGTTTCGACACAATTTGGAGTGTGCCTTGCTTTAATTACTTAAGGTTTATACTTCATAAAAAAAAACACTCATTTATAAAAAGTCATAATAATTTACATTCATTTTAGTTAGATAATATATATTTAACACATCAGTTAAGATAATTTATTTCCCTTTCAATTAGGAAAGTGATTTCATACAATTACTGTATAATGAAACAATCTTCAAAAACCATGTTAAGGTCATTTGTTAAACCCACAAAATATATACTATTTTCATTCTAATGAACTAATCACAAAAAAACAAAAAATTTGAAAACACAACCAAGAAAGTGGTTTTTAACCCAATTAACATAAACCATCTATTTTGGTGTGATACTAAGATGTAGGCTTAAGAAATATCTTTTTTCTTTCCAAATTTTTTAGATAACTTCATTATCATTAGATTAACAATGTTAAAAAAAGAAAATTTGTTTTGAATTCATAAAAGCATAAATCTTAAAATTCACTAAATGGACCGTTTAGATTCATTGTTGGATGTGACTCATTTAGATCACATATAGGATGTAAATTAAAAAAAATAAAAATTTATTGAAATTGATTATTGAGATGAAGAAAATGGATGTACGAACTTTTAGATCATACAAATACCACAAACATAATTTTCAAACATAATTTCTAAAAGAGTGATTTCTTTATATTAATGGCGACACTATATCACTTCCCTTTACATTAAATCGAGTTGTATAACAAGCTTACTTCTACAAGTTAGTCGCCTTAAGCCTAAATATGTGGTATGAGCTAGAATTTAGGCAGGGTTTGGTCGCACCTCAAAAACCTAACAAAAAATTGCTGGTGTCGAAAGAACCTCAAATTGATTATAATAGCCTCCCCAACTATAGACCCTTTAAAACAAAAAAAACAAAAAAGATTTCAAGCCTTTCAATAAATCTTGTACCAGATTATCAAATTGTTCATTTTCGAGTACTTATAAATCCACCAGATCTGCATACAAATTTCATAATCTGGCGAAAACAAACTTTCCAAACAAATTCAATTTCCAAATGTTCAAATCCACCGGTCGGCACCATTCATAAATCAAGGAATTTCATAACGAGAGAAAATAAATTCAGGCTAAAATAAGGATTTACTCGTCTCAGTCCAGTGAACAGGAAGCAATCAAATGTCGTAGGCTTATGCGTCCAATTGCCCAATTCCTTTGCTAGAACCTCAACGAACCAAATTCAATAAGTGCATAGTTGAGAACAGAACAAGGTTACAATTGCAGGCAACTTCTATGCATTAAGTGGACATAAAAAGCACCCCAAACACACTGGCCAAGGCAGGATTCAAAACACCCCACAAAATCACTTAAAAAGGCAATATTTCAATAAAATCATGTCCGCGCCGAGCATTGCCCGAACTAAGTACCATCTCAGGAAAAATAAAAAATAAAAAAAACATATCCCCTGTGTTCTCAAATTCCATAAAACACACCTCATATGACCTCGAGAAATATACAACTCATAATATTACCTGTTTTCTCAGCTCCACATATAAATCATTACTGCAACACAAAGGTGCCTCAAGGGAAAAATCAAGGAGACGACGATCCTATCTAGTTACAGAGTTTCAAGGGAGATGAAAGTTGGTGAAAACATGAAATAAATGACAAAAAGAAAGGCTTGCTTCGAGAACCAAACCCTATAAACTAGCACTTTTAAAAACAGCATATCATGGGGAGAGGAGGCTCTCACATGCTTGAATACCAGCCATCTTGCTCCCCAATATTGCTTGTGCAGAAGGGCTCGAGTTCACAGCCTTCATGACTGCGTTGTATACATCACCCCTTTGCTTTGTGTCCTCCATTTTGCTCAATGCCTCTCTCACTAACTCAAAATCCACACCCCCCACCAAAATGAGCCTTCCAATAACTTCCCCGAAATTGATCGGAGCCTTAGGGATGTCAAAAACAATATCGTCAAGCATCGAAGCGTAGTGTAGGCACCCCACACCCACATCTCTCCCAGAAATTACCTTCTTGGCCAAAAGGAACTCCAAGAGCTTCCCTATAGGTTCGACACAAGGCGGACTCTTCTCAAAAGCCTGTGCTATCGCCTCCTTCACAAACTCGGGGTGATAGTTAGGGCTCTTAAGCTCTTCCACACATTGCATGGCCTCATTTAGATCACGAACGCTGAAGTACTCCTCCAATAGTGATTTTGTCTTCCTCACAAGGTCCACAGGGGGTTGTCGGACTTGTTGGGCTGGCACTGCCTTCTCGAGTGGATTAGGCACAGGAGGCTCATAAGGTTTGGGCTCATAAGGTTTGGGCTCATAGGGTTTGGGATACCCCACCGGAGCAACAGCCTTGGGCTCTAGGCCTGAGACCAAGCCCGATTGGATCCGAGAGGTGGGCCCACCCTGCAATAAGGCACTTGTTTTTCCAGGTATCAGGCCTCCAGTGCCTTGAGGTAGCATCTTCGAATTGAGGGAGCCTTGTTTTGGGGCAATAGAGGAAGGCATTCGGTTGCTAGAGAGAGATTGTCCTTCAGTTTTGAGCATTGACCGGCTTCTCGGGACCTCCCAATTGTCATCCAGGCCTGGCATGCCCGGCATCTTGCGCGTCCCTGGCATTCCTGGCATCATGCCACCAGCACCTGGTCGATTGATGGGGAAGCCACCAGCAATACCCATACCGCCTAGGGGACCCACAGCGGTGGCGCGGCCATTTCGCATTGTGGCACCCGGCCTTAGGCCCAAATTCTTCTCAGCCTCAGAGTGGATCTCATTGATAGTCTTGGCTTTCACCTGTGAATGTAGAGAGAAATCAACAACGGATGCAAAAAAGCAGACCAGGAGGTTCAAAACCATGCTCAAAGAAACTTAATTGACTCTCAGGAGGGGATTATGGTGTAATCCAAAGAAGTATGGAAAGATCATTCAGTCGGGGTATCACAACCCATTGTATGATCGGCATAGGTGGAGACAACGAGAGATGACCTCAATGGTGGGTTCCAATCTCTCTCAACCTTCAATCATTTTATTGGATGCCAATGACCCAATTGACTGTTATTTATCCATGGTCCATCAAAATATTGGATTATATTAAACTTTCCCTTGAAAATGTACGGAGGGAATTGTTATGACTAAAAGAAGAGAGAGGGAGCAGGAAGGGGTACAACATAGTCCATCGGCAAAGGTATACGTTACTCCCAATCCTACTTCCACCATCAGCTCCCAATGACTGACAGATGGTTGGAGATTACCTGGAGGCCCACAAGGGTAATCACCCCATACAATTAATCTCCATCATCAATCCAAAAGAGGAGATAGTGGATGCAGCTCAGAGTGCCACAAGTCATAGACCATGCGGCAATGGCGTATTTCCCAAAATCAAAATTCAGTGCTCCAAAGGAACATCCTTACAAGAGCACAAATGGGTAGGGTAAAAGAGCAAACCTCTTCACGTCGAGGAACCCAATTGTTGGCTCGCATGTCCAAAACATCACGGATCATAAATTTGAGCCTTGGTGCCAGTTGATGGTTTTTGGAGAGCTCTTTGAGCCTGTTAAAATACGAGTCATTGACATGGCGGGACCTAGGGCTTTCATCCAGCTGCTTACCAATGGTGTTGAAGAATTGACAGATGGCTTCAACGTTTTCTTCATCTGGGCAAGCCTTCGAATCGTGACCCAAGAGTTCCTGATCACCGTAACATGAATCAGTAGGCATTCCAAGGAATAAAAAAATACCCTTTCTCTCTTGACACTTCAAACTGTTGAGTTTGTGCCAGTAACCACTAGTGCACACCAATTATGCTAGTGGCTTGAAACCCAGCTCAAGGTCAAGAGAAAATGCAGTGTCCAAATCTAACTTACAAAAAAAAAATTCGAGCAGATAAAAAACACATGATGAAAAGCCATGCAGAAGCCTTGAATAAAGAACCTTAACAATGTGATGAACGATTTTTTCAGGGACCATTTTCTGCTTCAAGAGCTCCCCAATGAGACGAATGTTTCCAAGGATCCGGAGCTTCACCAACCTTTCTTTATCTCTGCGTTCTATTTCTTGCTCTGGAGCAGTCATCTGTCTGATCTCCGCTCTAAGGTTGTCAGCACCTTCAAATGCCTCTTGACACTTATTGAGAAGGATTCGCCTAAATGTGATGGGTTTTCCGTTTGGCTCTTCCGAGGGAAATGGAGGCAGTTTCTCATTGAGATCAGAACAGAGAAGGGCGTACATGGGACAAAAGGTAGGTTCTAGCACCGCCTTGTCAAAGATAAGATCGATAACACCCTATAGCACAGTAATGGTTCAATCAAATACCATGTTAGCAAATGATGATTTTAGGATGAAGAAATGGATACAAGGAATGCCTTTTCAAATATAGTAAAGGACATACCTTCAAAATATCGGGTGTTGTGATTCCAGAATCTATAAGCTGGCCTTTGAGAAGATCAAACTTCTCTGGTGTCAACTTGTTAAGTATTCTGCAGAGACAAGAAAGAACATATAACCTTATTCAGCCGCTCTCAAGGAAATTAAGTTCAAAGTAGCACTTTGAAGTATTTCAAATCAAGATCTTCCTCTACTAGAATTTCATGGAATGAAGTATCGTAAGTAATTCACAGGCCTTGGGACTTTCATATATAGGCAGTTCGCTAACTAGTATTAACATTGTGCATAAGTTCTGATGCTATAGATTTTTTTTTTTTAAATGTTGATACTATAAATTCTTTCTAAAAAAGTTCCTGAAATAAATTACCCTTTCACTGTCTTCAGAACGCGGTCTTTATCTGAAAGATTTCCTCGCCGAGCTGACCATGGCACTTCAGCCTTGACAAGAACAGGCGTTGGCCCAACCTACAAAAAAGAACACTGAATGAAAAAAGCCAAAGCAGAAGGGAGGAGATGGCACACACCATGTTATGCGTTCCACACTCATAAAGAGGATAAACAGCACAGACGAACAGAACTTAAGTCAAATAGCCATCCAGTATCGATATGAGAATCACAATTTATATTGAGACCAAATGGCAAATCAGTGGCTCAAACTTCAAAGATTAAACAACCCTAAACTTCTTTGTCTTCAACAATAATTTTCCGGTATCACCAACCCTATACCTATTCATCATTTTACTATTTAAACCACACACCAACCATCCTCCGTTGGATATCATAAAACCCATACAAATGGGCTCCCCACATTTTCACAATAAGCACCATTGGAATGAATTGGTCTACTCACTCGTAACAGGACATAAGACATCCCTACACGTCATAAAATAGGTAGATCAGCCCATGTTGATCTAATTTGGATTGGTTAGCCAGTGTGGATTGACTAATGGATATGTGGTTTCTATTCTTCCTCTAAACTCCGTATCACCCTTGCCAGCACCAAGTCCCATAACTGCTTGTTAGAGCTCTATATGCAAGGGGGAATTAAAGCATGCAGAAGGGAAGCCTTCAACCACGCCACCCGCAAAGAGGGGCCACCTCTTTGATAGCTCACCAATTCAAATATCCATAAACTTTATTCCTAGAGTGCGAAGAATGTAAAGAACATATGTTATGTAAGATAGATAATTAAAAAACCATCTGCATAAAATACCATCAGGCCCTCAAGTTTGGAGGTTCCGCACCTCAGGTTCGGATTGGCTTCATTTGTTAAGAGCAAAGTTCATACAAGCCAAAAAAAATAGCATTGCAGCAACTTTATTAATATAATATAGTATAACATGAGCAATGAGGCAAAACAAATGCCACAAACATAATGTAATAAAATATAGAGAAGCTTACGTTAACTTTTTTTAATATAAGAATATACATCATGAACAATAATCAGGCTTGGGCTTAAGTGGTGTAGTAGCTGATGTTTGGCAGCGCTACATCTTAAGATCGATTCCTACCACTGAACAACCTAAAAAATAAATAAATAAGAAAAATAATTGATAAAGAAATGGCATAATATAGTTAACATAAGCAACTTTAAACTTCGTTCCCAAATGTTGCTTTTATTTACCCAAAAAAAACCTTTAAGCTTTGTGAATATAATATAACATTGAGCAACGAGACAAAACAGTTGAAAACAAAACACATAATATAATATAGTATAAACAATTTTTAAAATACCTAAACAAAATGAAAGGAGTAAAGCAAGGCTCTTATGTAATATAGTAAATATTAGATCGCATGACCACTACTCTACTATTTTTTTGCATGTGATCAAATATTTACTAAATTACATGTAAGGGGCTCCCTTTACTCCTTTTTAGGTATTCTATGAAGTTGTTTATATCATTTTATGTGACTTGTTTCAATTGTTATATTATATTTACAAAGCTAAAAGTTGTCTATATCCTACTATATTATGGCATTTGTTTATCAATTATTTTGTGTTATATTATTTTATTATATTAATAACAATTACAGTAAACTTGTCTATATCATGCCGACCCCAAATAGTTAGGATAAAGCTCTTATGATGATGATGAAACTTGAAGATATCATATTACATTGTGGCATATGTTTACTGTAGTATATTACATAATGGTGTAGACACCATTTTAAAACTGGTGAATTTCATATTTTCCTACCTTAGACAACCCTTAGGATCATACTATTTCATAAGACCCTTAAACATAAAACACTAATCCATGGTCCCCATCCTGGCAAATCTGGTGGTTTTTAATGAATATCCATTCTACACCCTTTTCAATCTATAAAAAAACATTTACGTGCCTCTTTTAGTATTAGATATGTATGCTAAGGAAAATCTGAGAGATAGAGAGAGCCTAGAGAGAGGGTTAGACGTGTATGCCAGGGAAACCTAAGAGTTAGGTTTAGGGAAATATGAGACAGCCCAGAGAGAAAAACCTTTGGCCATTAAACCTAACCTACAACATTTAGATCCAAGATAACCATTCAACCAATCCAAGGCTTGGTCAACATTGAAGAGAGACACGGATGATCCACAATAGAAATTACAGCCACGGTCCTGATACGGGCAAGGCCCCGAAGCCTCGGGTTCACCGGGCTGGCTTGCTCGACCAAGTATGTTTCTATCCCTTCTCTAGTTATTTATTTCATTTTTACTTGGATTTAGGCTCATTTCATTGATTTTACTTCAATATTTCGTGCTTGTGATCAACTTGGCTGTGCCACTGATCTGAGAGCATATCTGCTTATATTTCTAAGTAGATCTGAACTTAGATCAGAATTCGAATTGTCCCCATTCTCTATCACTTTTAAAAACAAGTTTGTGGTTCGGATCCGAGGGACCTGTACAGTGCAAATTGGAGAGGTCCTCAGAGGAAGATCCCGTTGGACTTCCGTAACCCTACTAAACCGTTGTTTTTTTAAACGGTCGTTAGGGGGTAGGGTCCAAGGGGTCCACGACCAGGGGGGTACTAGGGT